AAGGTGCCACAAATTTGAAAATTAAACAATACACAGAGCTGTAAACAGGTCATCTTCTCGCTGGAATTTGGGAATATTTTACTTTAGGTCGAGGCTAACCCTGTGCAAATGCGCTCTCAGTGCTTTTAATCAGCGGTTATGGCGAACTCGAAACTGGACTATTACGATAAAACCCTCGATCGTGTCAACCTCAATCCCAGGCTCTCTCTCCTTTGCCTCCGTTGACGTTGGGAAGTCGGACGTCATCGCATTTCTTTGTCTTTTTATAGACACTACACCCTGTGCGCACTGACGAAGAATCCTCCGTTTTCGAGAAAGTCAGATTCTCCTCTGAACAATCTGGATCTTGTAGAGTGTTTGTGGCGATTAATCAAGTAAGCTGTAGAGATTGTTTGATCGCATATCAGTGTGGTGTATTTTCAGTATTTAGGTATTTTCAGGAAATCCTAGACTACGAGTAGTCCCTCTTTTGCTTAGTCCGTCGTGGGTGACGCGAAAGAAAACCGCAAGAAAAAATGGCCGCGTGAAATGTTTTCTTTCGCGTCACGCACGACGGACTAAGCGAAAGAGGGACTACTCGTAGTCTAGTAAATCCTCTTGCACTCATCTCAAGAAATTCCGATGCTTTTAGACAACTCACAATAACACNGTGAAATTTCTGAAATATTTACAACCTAAAGCTAAAGTTTAAACAACCACGCAACCACACTGGCTGACACATCTGAGAAATACAAATGTTTCAGTTCAATTCAATTCTTTATTTACACTATATTGGTTATTTAAACACATTTTTTAAGGTAAAGTACTGAAAATAATATAATCACCCATCCATTGGGGAGTCAGTAGAAAAACACCTTGTCACTTCACGTGTTTCACTTCAATTAGATTTTACACTGGATGACACAAATTAATTGCGTTGAGGATAAATCTTCGCCCTTATTCAATTCTCTCACTTTTAAATGGGCCATATCATAGTTACCTCGTGCCTCTGTGTCAGGACGAGTTTTTCTTACGAAACCATGATATGAAAATCCTAAATTTAAAATGTGTTCGCCTACAGGTTCATTTTCATGTAAATCAAACTCATTTCCATATGAAAAGTTTTGCACGAAGACTCGTTTTCAAACAGAGGCAGAAATGGCCCATTGTCTGACCTGAGTACTTATTGGGTCGATACATGTTGGGCCTTATTTGATTTCAGTTCCAGTTCCTCAGTTGATGCTCGGCTCAGGCGAGACGGAGTCGAGTTGTTCAATACATTGTGGGGTCGCCTTACACCTGGCTGTGTTCCCTCTCAGGGGGTGAGTGAAGAACGACTATGAGAGAACCAGTAAACAACTTTTCAAAGGAAATGTTATTCAACCAGTCTCTACAGCTAACGAAAGATTAAGGGACAAAGACAATCTTTTGAACAGAAAGACTGTTTGTGAAAAGGAATTGGAGGCTAAGTGGACAAACTTTACTTAAGGATTTTGCTGGAGATGCTGTACGTACCTTGTTAACTACGTTAAACGAATTGTGTCACAGATTTGACTAGCCAAATTTAGGCATAAGAAAATGGCTTTCAAATCGAGTGAAATGTAAAATTAATCACATACAGGGCGACTACGCTAACCAAGGCCGCCCGACAAAATTTTCTACCCAAGTCAGAAACCTAAAAGCGTGTTAAGTTTGTTTGTGTGTGTTTTTCGTAGATGGGTATCGTAATAGACTTGAAGGAAAAGAAGATCATGAGTCTTTCTCCTCTTCCACCTCCCGCATCACCGGTAAGTCTGTCAATACAACACAGAAAGTTTTGTGAGGATGAAATCATGATTTGAAATTTTCCATTCAGAGAGGGTCGCCATCGACTTTGTAGAACTAAGTGAGTTTGTTAACTTCCCGGTTTTGTTGAATGTGTGTTACGTGTACCGATATTAATGATGTTTGGAGAGTAGCTTAGGCGTGGTCAAGTAGTGTAGGGTGCTGGATTTGAGACCTGTGGTACTTTTATTCAACCCCACCTCCACCCTGCTATAATTTGGGTTTGCTCAGCTCCTCAATCATCAACCTCGTTCCCAGGGCTTTCCCTAAAAGATTCATGCCTTCTAAACATCCACAACTGATCAGCCTCTCTCAAGTTGAGCTCTTAACACGTTTATGGTCAATCTCAATCGGTTTGTCAGTCGATTTGCAAATTTGAACAATTAGCACTCAATAATGAAGTCACTTTTCTATTTTACGTTTTAATTCTCGGCTTGTTCTTTTCTGCCAGGGATCTGTCAGCGGCGAGGAATCCACAGCGTCAAGGAAGAGCCACAAGAGAAAAGCTTCTCGAGCGGCATCGCCTGCAGGTGAACATCAGAAACCGTCATTTGGTTTAAAGCCCTTAACCGCTGTTTTGTCTTTCGTTCACTTTTCATCTGTTTCCTTCCATCTTTACAGATTTGAGTCATTTGGATTCTCAACCCGACACACCCATGAGTGTTGAGTCCGCGAATTCTGAAGCCAGCAAACTCCGCCTCAAGATAAAGGTACGTGTAGTTTCCAGTCTACGTAATTCTCTCGCTCGTGGTTCTGCGTCCAAACTAACTTTTCTCTTTCGTTTTAGATTGCAGGTGAAGAAAGCGGTGCTGAAAGTGGAGGTGAGGTTCGAATAAAACCAGATCCCGATGGAGGCGTTGCCGGGCACAAAAAACACAAGAAAAAGAAAAAGAAACACAAAAACAAAGAAGACCGGGAGAAAAGGAAACTAAGCACGAGTAGCAGTAACTATGATTCACCACTCATGTTCGACACCAGTCTTACATAGGTATCATTACTCGAAGACGAGGCTGTAAACGTAATCTTGTCAATACAAGGCCTGGAAACCATGTGGTCTGTTCAATTCTTGCCAAACATTTCTGCCTTTAGGAGCTGCAACGAAACACAGCAGACTTTGGCAAAGGACACACCCTTCAAAAAAGAGAACATTTTCAGAAAAACAGTTGAGAGCTAAATTATAATTTAGGAAATACTTGTAAACTGTTCTATTAGGCAAGATGGTTTGTGTGGATTTTACATCAAATGTCTTAAATATGAATGAGCCTTAAGTAACCACACAAATCTCAATGTAACATATTGACAGTTTGCCATGAAGCCTGCGAACGCAGACGTATTTCCGGTTGTCGCTTGTCTCCGCTGTTTATGTAATAGGCCTGTAATCTGTACATGAGTTGTTGCCTTAGAAATTAATCGTTAAAATATGTAAAGAAAAAATAAAATCAAATACTGATGATAATAAAGCACAATCAAGCTCACCCTTGGGAACGTAGGGACGGTTAGTCGGGGCGAGACGAACTACGCAAATGGAGTTCTTTACAAGACAACTGAGACCTTTAATTTGCGCTAATATATATATTTTTTAACGGTTAACTCTTAGATTCAAGTTGTTTTACGCCGGCAAACCGTTAAATTGTAAGCTTTTTTAGGCCTAACGGTTAAATGTTTGGCCCTAACGGTTAAACCCCATCGAGACACTCAATTATATCTTGTGGGACTATCTTGTATCAGGAGCATATAACATGTGACATGCTGCTGCTTGTATCTGATTGTATCTATCATCCTAAGAACATGATTCACAAATTACGCGGAAATTCAATTTTATGAGTTATTTGACAACAAAATCCCTGAACCTCTAAACTCGAGGCATGTTTGCTCCACTTTGAAAATGGTTTTATAAAGTGTTCTCCAATTTTGTCACTTGCCAAAAGTTAGGGGCTGATAATGGGCCGC